CTTTTCAGTGACAAGAAATCTAATTCATATCTAAAAGTATATATTATGGTTAGTACTGTATAGTTAAGAATTCAGAACAAAAGGTAATATTTTCTCTTAATTTAACTCAATCTGTGCCTCTTTTGGTCATTAGAACACATATATTTTAATATAAGTTATTTCTTTGTAAAATGCTAATCTTCAGCCCATACCAAAAACTAGCGATGGGGAGGAGAGAGTAGCCTCTTTGCACTACCACTGCAGTCAATTATAAATCAGCTCGCTTTCTAAAAACTTTTAACACTTCCCTTAAAATAAATCTGAAAAACAAAACTCTAAACTGGCCAAGACACTAATTTTTATGTGTAATCACATTTACAACTACCTTTGTCAAGTAAAGATCATCTGTTACATTCAAGTCCTGTGCTAGAACTCTTCGTTCTTGCCTGTGCTCTAGGATCTGAAGATAAAGGTTCGTCCCAAGAACCTGTTTTCTCTGAGGGATCCACTGAGAACTGGCACCAATGCTTTTCAGTACTGTGTTTATGTGAATCAAGTTGTTAAAGCGTGTATATCTTTTTTATATATTCTTTTTTTTTTCAAATTAAAGTTGTATAAAAGGTTCAAAATCTTGCCTTAAATTGTTTAATTCTTTCTAGGACTCATGAATTGTGGCATTTAAAAAATTCACTTTTGATAACTTGGATTTAAAAAAAACAAAACACTGAAGCCTGCTATTTTAATACACATTTATTTACATGCTGTTTACTAGCAGTGCAAATATGGATGTGATTACTGATATCATCTGTAAGAACCAAATGCTTTAATTATATCAGCATAGTAAGTGAAGATGTATAATATTTTTATTAATACTTGGAATATATTCAGTGGGTTGAATGTGACTTCATAACTATACTACAATTATATTAAAATATTTCTGGAATAAAGTAATTCAGCTGTCATTTCTTTCCTTGTTTTAATATTTTGGTTTCAAACTTTTATAACACAGTGTTCTTTTCATCTCACCCAGGAGTTTGTAAAGTTTAGTAATCAAGAATTTCAGATATGATCTGTCAGACTTCCCTAAAATGTCTAAAAAGGGAGTTTGAATTGATATCTGAGTGTGATTCTTTGAAGATCTGGATATCATTTTGCTATAGCCCATCATTATTCCTAAGATGTGAAATTTTCTGTAGATGTGGTTCCTGATCTCTGGTTGTAAATGGATGTTTCTCTCCCGCCCGCCTATTCCCAAATACCTGGCAGCCGCTTCCCAAATAATTGACTTGGAGGCTTAATATAATTATAAATGCTTGGCCAATTGTTACTATTGTAACAATTGTTACGATTGTTACTAGCTAGCTCTTACATTTTAAATTAACCCATATTCCTTATTTATGCTCCGCCACGTGGCAGTACCTTTATTAGTGTGGCATGTTCATCTCTTGCTCCCTCTGTGTCAGCTGGCAACTCCTGACCCCACCCTTCTCATTCCCATCATCTTTAGTTTGGTTGCCCACCTGTACTTCCTGCCTAATGTCCAATCAGCATCTTTTTTTTTTTTTAAGATTTATTTATTTATTATGTATACAATGTTCTGCCTGCATGTGTGCCCGCAGGCCAGAAGAGGGCACCAGATCTCATTATAGATGGTTGTGAGCCATCATGTGGTTGCTGGGAATTGCACTCAGAACCTTTGGAAGGGCAGCCAGTGCTCTTAACCTCTGAGCCATCTCTCCAGCCCCAAAAAGTTGTTTTGTTTTGTTTTAATGGTTGTTTACTTCAATGAAATTACAACCTTTTTTTTTTAAGATTTATTTATTTATTATGTATACAGTGTTCTGCCTGCATGTGTCCTTGCAGGCCAAAAGAGGGCACCAGATCTAATTGCAGGTGGTTGTGAGCCACCATGTGGTTGCTGGAAATTGACCTCAGGACCTCTGGAAGAGCAGTCAGTGCTCTTAACCACTGAGCCATCTCTCCAGCCCCCAATCAGCATCTTATTAGCCAATGAGAGTAATACATATTCATAGTGTACAAAAAGATTATTCCACAGCATCTGGTAGTTTACTTAAATAGTAATAGAGCAACAGCCACATTGTAGGCATAGCTCACAGAACAGTGCAAATTCTTAACATCATACACACTTTTATTCCTATGATCGTAAAACTGTTCTCTATAATGTGAAAACAGTCTAAACACCCTGAAAGAACCATTAAAACCAAATCTTCATGCTGCCCATGAAAGATGACTTATGTAGGCTTATTCTGTGAAATAACTGAATGCCTGCCTAACTTTGTGCCAGACTGCTTGGGGGTGCTGGAGTTCAAACCGTATTGTAGGTAGGGGCCTGGAGAGATGACTCAGTGGCTTCCTGCTGTTGTAAAGGACTAGAGTCTGGTTCCCAGTACAAAGGCACAGCTGCTTATTACTCACTCTAGCTCCTGGGGATCCAGTGTGTAGCTAGAGTTTTCCTGCCTGGCCCACAGTCAGGACAAATCTCTGTCACCCGCCAGTCCTATAGCCGCTCAGACCCAACCAAGTAAACACAGAGACTTACATTGTTTAAACTGTTTGGCCTAATGGCTCAGGCTTCTAGCTATCTAGTTCTTACATCTTAAATTAATCCATTTCTATAAATCTATACCTTGCCACGTGGCTTGTGGCTTACCAGCATCTTCACATGCTGCTTGTCAGGGCGGCGGCTGGCAGTGTCTCCCTCCACTTTCCTGTTCTCTCAATTCTCCTCTCTGTTAGTCCTGCCTATACTTCCTGCCTGGCCACTGGCCAATCAGTGTTTTGTTTATTGACCAATCAGAACACATACAGAGCATCCCACAGCACCAGTGTTTTCTGGCACAGCCACATATGCATGTAGTAATAATTCTTTAAAAATCTTGGAGGCTGGAGTGATGTCTGAGGGGTTAAGAGAGCTTATTGCTCTTGCAGGACTTGTGTTTGGTTCCAAGAACCTAGGGCAACTAAGAATTCTGTAACTCCAGTTCCAAAGGATCTGATACCCTCTTCTGACCTCTGGGCACTGTAGGTACTGTGGTGCAAACATACATACATACATACACACACACACACACACACACACACACACACACACACACACACAAAATTTAAAATATCTTAATTTTTTTTCAGGTAGACAACATGTTGCTATTTGTAGGATCAGAAATGTGCCTGTAATGTTTAGAAACAATGGCAGAGTAGGAGGACATGAGGCCAGGGGCCTAGGTTTTATTTCAAATGCATTGATAAAAGTATAGAAACGGCCCCTGGGATGCTCAGTAAGTAAGAATGCATGCTGTGCACTGACATCCTTAGTTTTGATATCCAAAGCCAGGTGAAAAGATTGAACAGACTCCACAATGTTCTCTTACATATCCCATAGTCATCACTTTTTTAAAAACTTTTTTGTATTTTATGTAGGAGTGCTCTGCATGTGTACCTGCACGCCAGAAGAGGGCATCAGATAGTTTTTTAGAAGGTTGAGAGCCACCTTGTGGTTGTTGGGAATTGAACTCAGAACCTCTGGAAGGGCAGCCAGTGCTCTTAACCACTAAGCCATCTCTCCAATCCCCCCACCACCACTTTTTTTAAAAAGTTTTTTAAAAAAATTTAGAGGGATTTTCACAAGAGCAATGCATTTATCTGACCACTAGGTGGCCAATAGAAAGTATATAGAATGGGGTGCCATTTAAGCTGTCGGAGAGATGGATAGGATTGGGGTACCCGTGGAAACAAGTGAATAGATCATACATTTTTGTAGTGAGGTGTGTTGGGGTGACTCATGGAAATGAGAAAGAATAAAGAACCCTGCATTTGTATTTTGGACAAACGTGTGAAACTGAAAGGCTCTAGCTTAGGGATGGCGAATTGACGCCAAATTTGATGTACGGGTGGCATATCTGGGCTGAAAGTATGACTCTGGTTAATTATTCAAATATATCTTTGCAGCTGGGCGGTGGTGGTGCATGTCTTTAATCCCAGCTCTGGAGGCAGAAATAGGTGGATCTCTGTAAATTCCAGGCAAGCCTGGTCTACAGGCCAGCCAAGGCTGCACAGAGAAACCCTGTCTTGAAAACAAAAATCAAATATATCTTTGCTAGGAAAAATACAAATTTGGTTCAAGTTCCCAATGTTTTAGAAAAAAATTATTCAACTAGTGATGGGTTAAAATAATGCAGTTGGGCATGGTGGCTCACACCTTTCATCTCAGCATTGTCTATTGAGGCAGAAGCAGGAGGACTTCCGTGTTTTTTAGGCCGGCCTTGTTTACAAAGCAAGTTTCTGGACAGCCAGAGCTACATAGACCCTGCCTCCAAAAATAATAGATAAATAAATAGAAACCCAGACTCAAAAAATAATAAATGGCGAGGGGGAAGCACCAATGTTTCAGTACTATGTTTTTTTAAACCTCTCGCCCGTCACTTGTCACCCATTCTTGGAACGCACAATGGTGGACCCGCACTAAGTCATCCGTAAAAGGTCAATTCCCTAGGTATTCCCTTTCCCCCTCATCTTCTCGAGGCGTCTTTCCTAGTCCCCAACTCTTCTCAGTCGGGTCCGCGGCTCAGCGCTCCTGTGCAGACGGCAACGGCACAGGCAGCGAAGGACAGGCCGGGGCCGGTCTCCAAAGCCTAGGGTTAGCGATCTAGGGAGGAGGGGTGGCTCCGGCTGCGCGGAGGCGCTGCGGTCTCTTCGATGCAGCGCTCATCCCCCACCGCTCGAGTCCGGGGCTGGTGAGGGAGCCCTGAAAAATCGCTGACCCCGCATCTTAGCCAAGTCCTCCAGCCCAGGGCTCGAACCCGTGTTAGGTTCCCTCAGAAAAGGATTCCTACTACGGGTTAGCGGATGACTTCCGGCTCTGCCTGAGAGCCGGACCAGAGACAGCGGAAACTGGACCCAACTAATGAATGAGGTGTGACATCCGCCGCAATGCCCTCTGGGACGCGTAGTCACGCGGACTCCTGTGGCCGCGCCGTATAGCCCCGCCCCGCGTGAGGGGAAGCGTAGACGCATGACGTCACTTCCCGCGTGTGGCTTGGCTTCCTGCGCCGTTTCCTACCTCGTTCTCTCTTTGCTGCCAGACCTCCGCCATCATGGGTCGCATGCACGCTCCCGGGTGAGCCCGCGGCGCCAAGCCGGGTTGTGGGGCTGGAGCTGGGGCGCGGTGCAAGGGGAGGAGGATGCGGGGTGCGGGTGGGGAGACGGCGGGGATGTTTGAGCCGCGGGCCGCCACTTCACTCCCTATGCTTCTGTTCTCAGGAAGGGCCTGTCCCAGTCGGCGCTGCCCTACCGCCGTAGCGTCCCCACGGTGAGTAGAGGCTGAGGGTTGGAGGGCAGCATGGGAAGGGATCTGTGTGCGTGAGGATGCGGCCCGAGGTGGAAGGTTGCCGTCGTGCTTGCTTATGCTGAGGCCGATTTCTGTTCCATGTACAGTGGCTGAAGCTGACGTCTGACGACGTGAAGGAACAAATTTACAAACTGGCCAAGAAAGGCCTGACTCCCTCCCAAATAGGTGAGTGTTGATGTAGTCTCTAAATGCTGCTCTCGGGTCATCTGGAAAGACAAATGTGTCTAGTCCCTGCCTAGAAAACGCTTTTTCCTTGCTTCCACAGCTAAACGAGGAGCATCTGGGATCGAGTCACATCTAGCTATGAATTGTCTCTAAGCTGCTGTGACTTTGTACAAATGGCAAATAATTTGTTTCTGTTAAGTGGGTCTGGGGCCTAGGATAACTGGTCATAGAAGGAAAACATCCTCGGTAAGACTTAGAGTATGTTACAGCTATGGGAAAAAAACGAATTTAAAATGGACTCAAGCTAACTAGAAGGGATTTGAGATTTAAAAGGAATAACATATATGCAGTTTTAAAGATTAGTATAAACAAACGTTAAGCTGGTTTTAGTTCAGACCAAATATAAAGGTAGAAATCTCATTGGTTCCTTTGGTCAGCTATGTTCTAGCAGACTCACTGTGATGATGGTGTTCCAACATTCGCGGTTTCCACCAGAAGGGCTTCCTCCATGTTGGGTAGACCTTCCTTGGATGTCTGAGTGAGCTTGCAAGCACTCTTAGGTTGGCTATTTGCAGAAATTTGGAGAGTCTTGCTACCGGGGCTTTATCACATGCTCAAGTTTGTGTTAGAAGTTACCTGCTTTTTTCAGGTGTGATCCTGAGGGACTCGCATGGTGTGGCGCAGGTCCGTTTTGTGACTGGTAATAAAATCCTGAGAATCCTTAAGTCGAAAGGCCTTGCCCCTGACCTCCCTGAGGATCTGTACCATTTGATTAAGAAAGCAGTGGCTGTCCGAAAGCATCTTGAGAGGAACAGAAAGGTAAGTGAGGATGCAAACCTAGTGTTGTGTAGCAGTGCTTGTTCTGGACTTCAGGAAGAGTGCATTTGAGTTTAATTCTCCCGGGTGGTTCGGAAGAGTGCATTTGAGTTTAATTCTCCCGGGTGGTTCTGGGTACCAACTAGTCAGCATTGTAGTTTCCTTGGAATGGGTAGTTTGGTTTTTAGTTCCCCTAATAAAGAGACCCTGTTTAAAAAGCTTAACCTAACTATGGAAGGTGTTGAGTTACTTTTTCGTGGTGGTGGTTTTCTTAAATCTCTTATTTTTAGGATAAGGATGCTAAATTCCGCCTGATTCTGATAGAGAGCAGAATTCACCGGCTGGCTCGTTACTATAAGACTAAGCGGGTCCTCCCACCCAATTGGAAATAGTAAGTATATGCATTTTTGTTGGCAACAGTCAGCCAGGTAGTATGTGTATGTATTGGTATTTGCTCCACCCAAGGTTGGCGGAGCAAATACCACTACAGTAGTAGGTAAAGGGCTTGGTGGTAGATATTTTGTCTTTCTGGGTCCTATAGTTGAGCACCATTTCATCCCATCCCTGTCATAGTAATGGGAAAGCATGCATGGTTGATACATATTCAAATGGCAGTGTTCAATCAAAATGCTATTTAGAGTTGGGTGTAGAGGCAGACTGGTCTGCATGAAATCCTGTCTTTTTAAAGGAAGAAAGAAAGAAATGTCACTTATAAAAGCATAGTTGGCAGATTCTGGTTTGACTTAGGAATGGTCCTTCCCACCACCATCACCCCTCATGGATTGCTCGCTCTGACACTCATCCAAAGCTTCTGCCAGATGACCAGTTCTTACTTAGATGTCTGGTTGAGCTTTGCCATTCATCCTCCTGTTTGAATCTGTGAGCTTTTGGGGTCTCGCTCAGTTTGGTGCCTTGTGTGCAGTTAGGTATTTTAGCTGTTTGGGGAAAGCTCTGGTAGCAGAGGGAGTTGTGAGTGGATCCCAAAGACTAGTATTAATTCCAGTTTTCCCTTTTCCTTTTTTCCAGTGAGTCATCCACAGCCTCTGCTCTAGTGGCATAAATTCTTGTGTACACAGCAATAAAATCACTTTGAATAAATTCGTGTTTTGTGTTTCTTTTCAGTGTTTATCTTTTTTTTGATGGGGAAGTGTTTTGGCAAAGTTACTGATCAGAGGGACAGAAAGCTTGAGTCTGTTCAGTTGGTTTCCCTGGCCCCTACTACTAGTCCAGCTGGTTGTAAATACTGGTGGGCTTTGCTATCTACATGTGGGAGAACTGGAAGACACTAGCAAGTGGGAATGCCTTATATGGGGGGGGGGGGGCACGCACAAACATTTGGGTCCTCTTGATAGATGTGTCAGCTGTTAACCATGGTTAGCCTCAGAAGTGTGCCCGGCATTGTACACACTACTATGCTGGCTGGGAGAGCTGTTTGGTCTCCCTAGGGGGATCTTGAGGAATTGCTACTTTTGGAATGAGTTTTTTATTAAGGTGTGTGTATGTCTGCATCTGCATACATGGCTGCATCACAATCGTGCAGTACTTCCAGAGACCAGAAGAGGGTGTTGGATCCCCTGGGATTGGAGTTAAAGAGGCTTTGAGTTGCTTTGGTCCTGGGAACTGAACTCAAACCCTGCAAGAGTAGCCAGTGTTCTTAACTGCCTAGCTATCTCTCCTGCTCCTGGGTTCTGTGTGTGTGTGTGTAAAACCAGGTGGAGCCAGGCGGTGGTAGCCCACGCATTTAATCCCAGCACTCGGGAGGCAGAGCCAGGTGGATCTTCGTGAGTTCGAGGCCAAACTGGTCTACAGAACGAGATCCAGGAAAGGCACAAAGCTACACAGAGAAACCCTGTCTCAAAAAAACAAAAAACAAAAAAAAACCAGGTGTATCTCTGAGTTTGAGGGCAGTCTGGTCTAAATAGTGACTTCCAGGATACACAGGGTTACACAGAAACCTTGCCTCAAAAAAAACCAAACTATATTTGTATATTATAATATGTGTAATATATACTTGTAATCTTATTGGTAGGCCATTGAAATTCAATTTTTTTTGTCATTCAGTCCCTTGAGTGTAGACAACAGGATGGAGTCAAAATTCACTTCCAGAAATAGCGTTGACACTTAGAGATTGTATTTAGGAGGTAAAATCTCAGTCTCAAATTATTGTAGGCTGAAAATGTTGCCAGAAGAATAACCATGCTATGATAAAACATTGAGCCTCAGGACCAATGACACAGTTCGGTAGGTTAGGGCACTTGACACCAAGTCTGGGAACCATTTGGTGGAAGGAAAAAACTACCTTTGAATTTAAAATATGGGTGCACACAAATATTTAAAAAAACTATCACACACTCATCTTTGTGACTGGGATGAAGGGAGGTGTAGGTCTAGGCACTGTAATACATTACTATGTAAGAGTTGCTTTAATGTGCAGGCACATGGAGATAAAGTACAGTGATAGTGGATGAGACAGCCAAAGCCTACCAAGGAATAAAAGGTGTGTAGCATGTATAGCATGGATGCTCTAAACATCCTGAGCAGGACAGTAAGATTTAATCACATAATTAAAATAGCAAGTGTTAGCTTTTTTTCCCCTTGAGATGGTTCTCAAGGAACACTGGCTGGCCAGTGGACATCTGCCTGCCTCTCCCTTCTAAGAACTAGCATTAAAGACACTACTGAGCCCATCAGCATTAGATTTTAAATGGATTAATCCTGGAATGTTCAGACCACATAAATTACCTTTGTTAAGTTACTTCACTTAACATGCCCCCTAGTGACAGCATTTCATTCTTTTTTTTTAATTTATTTATTTTTATTTCACATACATTGGTGTTTTGCCATGGGTGTTGGGTCTCAGGAACTGGAGTTACAGACAGTTGTGAGCTGCCATGTGGGTTCTGGGAATTGAACCCGGGTGCTCTGGAAGAGCAGTCAGAGCTCTTAACCACTAAGCCATCTCTCCAGCCCCCAGCATTTCATTCTTAAAGTTGAATCTTACTAAATGAACAGTGCAGTTTAAAAAGTTACATTTTAATCTCAGGGTTTGGGAGGCAGGCTGTCCAATGCGTTCAAGACCAGTCAGGGCTACACAATGTAACCCTGTCTCAAATTTTTTTAATTTTTTCATTTTTGCATCTCCCAGTATTTCCATCTGTTCCTTCTACTTGCACATTGACTGAGTCAGGGTCTCAACTGTAGCATAAACTGGCCTGGAACTTTTATGTAGACCAGGCTGGCCTTAAATTTACAGATTCACTTGTCTGCTTTCTGAGTGCCTCTCCCAGCTAATCTTTAAAAGCATTTCATATTTGTAACATCTACTTTGACACAGTTGGAAACAGCATGTACACAGTTACTTGTCCAAATCTGTTGTTAGAATCTAGAACTTGTTTTCTTCAACAGTTGTCTTCCTTTTGAGAAAAAAAAAAAACATATCTGCTATTTACCCTAGACAAAGCTTAAAACAGTCTTTTTTATTTGTCTTTTTTGTTTTTTCAAGACATGGTTTCTCTGTGTTGCCCTGGCTGTCCTGGAACTCAATTTGTACACCAGGCTGGCCTCCAACTCAGAGATATGCTTGCCTCTGCTTCCCAGGTGCTGGGATTAAAGGCATGCGCCACCATCACCCAGTAGAAAACAGTCTTGTTTTTATAGCTCCAGGTTCATGAAGAAGATAACCATTTCCAAGGTTTGTATTTGTGTCATGTTACGCTTTATTGAACTATTTAAAGTGAACTACTGAGTCACTGGCATTTAGTGTTACCTTTGGCTTCCCTGCAATCAAATATGCATGCTCTGTGTGTAAGTACAGGCATATGCATACTACTTTGTTGTTATTGTTTTAGAGACTGGGTTTCACTGTGTGTTCCTGGAACTCCCCCTGAAGACCAGGTGTGGCAGAGTCTTATTTCTTGCCCCTGTACTGAGCACTCAGTACAGGCCTTTGAGCTGCTAGGTGATTTTCCTTTCCAGCTTTGCATCTTGATGTAAGATTGCTGGTCTTACTATATAACATTTTATAGTCATAAACCAGGAGGCAGAGGCAGGTGAATCTCTATGAATTTGAGGCCAGCCTGGACAATATAGTGAGTTCTAGGCCAGCCAAGGCTACATAGTGAGACCCTTTCTCAAAAAAGTAAATAACAAATGGCTGGATGATGGCTCAGCAATTGATCACTTACAGGGGTTTCGTTCCTAGTAATCCTGTCCAGCAGCTCATAACCACCTACTTGCAGTTCCAGGGGATTGGATACCTTCTGCTGGCCTCTGAGCACCTGCATGTGTGTGTGTGTGTGTGTGTGTGTGTGTGTGTGTGTGTGTGCGCGCGCGCGCGTGTGTGCAGGATTCCTACCTTCTGCTGGCCTCTGAGCACCTGCATGTGTGTGTGTGTGTGTGTGTGTGTGTGTGTGTGTGTGTGTGCGCGCGCGCGCGCGCGCGTGTGTGCAGGATTCCTAAAAATTTAACAGTTGGCTCTTGTGAGCCTGTAGAAGCCAGCTCCAGCATACCACCGCTCAGAGTTTATCTTTCTTTCCTGAATGCTTTTTGTAGAGGCCTGTATCATTAGTGCTGTATGTGGTCATCCTAGAAACACACCTCTGAAGCTGTCCTTGCCTCTTCAGTATTTCCTCTGAGTTCCTCTTAGCTATTTTTTAAAAAGTTTTATTAGACTGTGCTGGGCATGGTGGCACACGCCTTTAATCCCAGCACTTGGGAGGCAGAGGCAGGTAGATCTTTGTGAGTTCAAGGCCAGCCTAGTCTACAGAGCAAGTTCCAGGACAGTTAGGGCTACACAGAGAAATCTTGTATTGAAAAAAAAAAAGGTAGAGGATAGTCTCCAATGTAGTAACCCGTAATTACCTGCATGAGGTCCTGTTACAGGCGTCCTACAGGATTATGCTCTCATTTCAGCTGTAGGTGGCCTATGTTGCTGCTCTTGTGAGCATTGACCCAATGCCTATAACTGCTTGTAATTTGAAAAGTCTCTCACATTTATTGTTTCTTTAATTTTATAACTTGCCCAAAAACTGACTCCAGGCTATTTTTGGAAGGAGGCTAGATCTAAATTCATTAGTGAAAAAATTTGCACTCATTTTAATTTGTAAATTATATTTATGGATTTAGTTACATATTTATTGTGTGTGTGTGTGTGTGTGTGTGTGTGTGTGTGTGTGTGCATACATGTGCATGCCAAGGTGACTGGAGAGGCTAGAAGACAATTTGCAAGAGTTGGTTTTCTCCTACCATGTGGGTTGCAGGAATTGAACTCAGGTTGTTAGGCTTGGTGGCATGTGCCTTTACCTGTTATGCCATCTTGTCAGCCCACCCCCATTTAAAAAAGTGATGTGCTTATTTTTATTTTATGTGTGTGGGTGTTTTGCTTCTATAAATGTCTGTGCGCCACATGTGTGCAGTTCCCGTAGAGGACAGAAGAGGTTGTTGGATCCTCTTGGACTGAAGTTACAGACAGCTATGATCTGCCATCAAGTGATATGAGCTGAATCCCAGTCCTCAGGAAGAATAGTTAGTGCTCTGAGCCATCTCCAGCCCCAGCGCACCCCCATTTTAAAGACAATAACATCGCCAGGGCCAGGTGTAGTGATGCATGCCTGTATCCCAGTCCTCAAGATACAGAAGCAGGAGGAGTACAGCAAGTTTGAGACCAGCCTGATCTATAAAGCAAGTTCTAGGCCAGCCAAGGCTACATGAGAGAACCCTGTCTCAAAAAGCCCAGGAAAGGCGCAAAGCTACACAGAGAAACCCTGTCTTGAAAAACCAAAAAAAAAAAAAAAAAAAAAAAAGCCAAGATTTAAAAAAAAAAAAAAAAAAGATGATGAAGATGGAAAAACTGAGACTCAGGAAAGTAATTCAGACTCGAACTCAGCCTGGTGGTGGTGGTGGTGGCACATGCCTTTAATCCCAGTGCTTGGAATTAATTTAATCCCAGTACTTAGAATTAAAGAAACTCTGTCTTTTAAAACACCCCCCCCCAAAAGACTCAAGTCACTGAAATGTTTAGAGTTCCTATCATCATCTTTATTCTTATGATTCTTTTTGTTTTGATAAAGAAGAATATCTGGTGCATGCCTTTATCTCAGCACTCATGAGGTAGAGG